TTGGTGAGGGAGAGTTACAGGGAAAAGCTGTATTTATTGCACAATATGTCCAGCATATTGCTAAGAAAATAAAAAGGAAATGTTGAGTGAGTATGGACTGCTTGCTTTTTTATTCCTTTTCTTAGAAATTACACTTTTTTGCCAGTGGCCTTGGCAGCTGAGGGCTAATATGGGAGAGCACTCTGGCCAGCCAAGGTCTTTTCTACTTGGACCTATGACACTGGGATCATTTCATCATTTCTTTTTACAGCTTCCTCCTGGTTCAATATGAACATAGCCTTAGAATGGGTATTAGCTAAATAATTCAAATATATAGTAGATATTGACTTAAGTTTTTTAAGCAACATAAAATATATACAACAATCAGGAGTGTGCCCATCCCTCATACATGTAGTATGATATGAATGTAAGTTACATTATCGTTGGGTTAATACCCTCCCATTTACTTGTCAAGGGCATCTATCTGTGCTTCAGTCCTGAATATATCTGCTATATATTAATGATAAAAAAGAATATTGTAAAAATAAGTACTGTTGGGATGCCTGGGTGGCTCAGTTGGTTAAGCCACTGCCTTTGGCTAGGGTCATGATCCCAGGATCCTGGGATCGAGTCCTGCATCGGGCTCCTTGTCCAGCAGGGAGCCTGCTTCTCTCTCTGCCTCTGCCTGCCACTCTGCCTGCTTGTGCTCTCTCTATGACAAATAAATAAATAAAATCTCTTAAAAAATAAGTACTGTTATACACAATTAGATAGTTACATTACGAACAGCAACCACTAAAGAGGCAAAGAAATTTGAAGACTTCTTTTGTAAGTAGGTACATATTAAGTATTTCTTTTAAGACTTTATTTATTTATTTGACAGACAGAGATCACAAGTAGGCAGAGAGGCAGGCAGAGAGAGAGGAGGAAGCAGGCTCCCTGCGGAGCAGAGAACCCAAAGCGGGGTTCGATCCCAGGACCCTGGGATCATGACCTGAGCAGAATGCAGAGGCTTTAACCCACTGAACCACCCAGGCGCCCCCATATTAAGCATTTTTGAGGCCTGCCTCAGACTCTACTGTGGTACTTCCAGCAATCCTGCTCCTCTCCGTGCTTCGGTTTCCTTTCTTCCTTCCATCTTCCGTTCTTCCACAAGCGTTAGCAGGTAAACACTGACGAACTGCAAAAGAAAAGGGCCCACACCTGAGCATTCCATCTTCATACATGTGTACTTTTAGCATTCGTTCTCTAGAAGTAGTTCTCTCTAAATGTCACCCTCCATCCTAAAACCCGTCAAAAAAATCCTCATTGTCTACAGAATAGAATTCGTTTTCCTTGGGAGTCCGGGATGCTTTGCCCTTCCGTACTTCACCCCTTCCTCTTTCTCTGTTCTTGTCTCCATCTGCTGCCTTCCTTGCACGTCATTTCCCAGATTCACTACTTGATTAAGTTGTAGTTACTCATTTCTCACATGCAAGGCCCCATTCTTCATTCATTCATTCACTCATTCCCCCTTTCCTTTTAGCCTAACGCTTTCTTCTGTCCTCAGGTCAAACTTCTCTTCATCTGGCTTCAAGATTCTGCTCAAGACTCACAGCTCCATCCTATTCTCCCACCCATCGGCTAAAATGAACTAGGTATTTCCTTTGTGTCTCTTATACCTTATGATAGCTTTATTAAAATATTTATTACATTTCATAACAAGTGGGTTTCCATATTTGTTTTCCCATGAAGGCTCTGATCTCCTTCAGGACAAAAATTACACCTTTTTATTTGCTGTTGCATTCTTGGAAACTAGCAAAATGCCTGGCAAAAACAGACATTTAATATGGAATACACTTCGTTCTTTTCTTTTAGCAAACCCATGCCCACCTATCTTCAGAATCCTGCATGCATGACTATCTTCTGGAAGTACTCATCACTCAGAATTCCCCTCTAGAAATTCTCTTCTGGTCAAAACCTCTTGCCTGTACTTCTAGACATTGCTTATTCTCATTAGGCCATTAGGTTTTTGCCTTTTTTCCTACTTCTAGTCATGTGAACACTTTTTAGTGTTCTGGTTTATCACTGAACTACTGGCCTCTTTGCCTTCCTAACTCAACCAATACTTCATGGTGAGTCATTTCGGCCCAAACAGTCAACCCCCTCTTCCCACCCTGACAATTTTCTTGACCTATTGATATTATATAGCAATAATCTTGCTACACATGCAACAGTATGGTAGCTAATCTCAACAGGGTATTACTGCTATGGATACTTTTTTTCATTTTTAATTTTCACATTAACCAGAATTTTCTTCATTTTTAAATATCCTAAACCCATAACTGTTTACCTCCCTGTCAGTTGAGAACCCCATCCACCACCTCACTGGAAAATTAAGATCATTTCATTTGAAGTTCTCTGCCCTGTATTTCAAAGTATGTATTTTATTGACTCATCTTCTCCTCCTCTTCTCCTGTCTCAGGAAAACTGGTACATTTTGTACAGGCCTAATTGTTTTGGCCATGACCCCAATCCTACTGGAATTTGCTTCATCACGTTTATTCCCACACCTTTGATGGTTTTCAGCTTTCTCACTATTGGCCTCTTTATTTTAAGCCACAAAGGTCTATCCTAAAATTACCTTCCTGTGATTCTGGTTGTCCCTGTTGTTATAGATACCCTTCCACGGGTGTCCTTATTTCCTCTTCTAAAATCTCAGAAGAGAAGTGTTGCTTTTAATTCTCCCCACAGTACTTGCTTCTTGACCACTTGCAGTGCATCCCAATTGTTTCAGTGATAATGACTCTCTGTGTCCAAAAACCTTGCCCTTGTTTCTACCATGGTGCCCATCTGTGTTGCCTTTTCACTCTTAACTCCACTTGTTTCTTCTAGCTGTTCCCTCCCATGACTTCCATGACCTCTTATTCTCTTCTCCTTGATACTTTGTATTTTTCCTATTTCCTTTTGCTCTACCAGCCCCTGAATAACAGGAAACACTTGAATTCATTTATTCCTTTGTCTGGAACAAACAAACAAACAAAATCTCTCCAATTGTACTTATGACTACTCTGGGCATCCCGTTTAACTGACGGTACCTTCTGGACACCTTCAAACTCACAATGTTCAAGGTTTAACCTTTTCTAATTTCAGGCTGGTTTGTTATCTTGGTTTACAATATAACCAACTTTTCAATCACATAGTCATATGTTATGTATTCATTTCCCTGATTTCTCAGATTTCTCATGTTTTAATGACAGATTTGTCTTCTCATTGCTTAAGATGCCCAGTACCATCTTTCTAGTGGCTGTGATTATGATGTCTATATTTGACTATTGTAATAATAACATGTAATAACATTTAATAACATGTTACTATAATAACCTCCTTTACTAGGTTACCCTGAGATATTCTCATAAAGTCATAAAATTTAAGAAATTTCACAATCTTTCCTTCTTTCAAATCTCTAATATCTTCCCTCCTTTCCAGTGAATTATGTCACCCTGCATAATTGAAATTCAAAGCCATTATGATCTGACTCCATCAAACTCCAGCAATAGTAACTTATATTCTATACCATCTATGTATCTTGAAGTACAGAACCCATCAAACCTGGTATTTTTCTCTTCAAACTCCTGTCTTTCCTTCAGTCAAAATATTTTATTCACATTTAACCATCTCTTAAAATTCTACTTATTCTTGGGGCACCTAAGTGGCTCAGTGAGTTAAGCCTCTGCCTTTGGCTTAGATCATGATCTCAGGGTCCTGGGACCAAGCCCCGCATAGGGCTCTCTGCCCTGCAGGGAGCCTGCTTCCTTCTCTCTCTCTGCCTGCCTCTCTGCCGACTTGTGATATCTCTCTGTGAAAAATAAATAAATAAAATCTTTCTAAAAAATTCTACTTATTTTTTTGAGGTCTAACCAAAATAGCAGCTCTTTAATGACCAGTTCCATGCCCACACTCAGCACCAATGCTCTATTCCTCCAATTCGGGCATAATTAAATTCTGTACATTTAAGCACAAATGCTACATTGAAAGGTAAATTTTATAACAAAATTTATAGAGGGAATTAAACCATGAACACTGCATATGATCAAACAGAAATACATGTAATCAGACAGATCTAGTTTTAAATGGTATCTTTGCCATCAACAAACTATGATTTTGAACAGGTTACTCAATCTCTTGTCTTAATTTCTTCAACAAAAATATAGAAAGCACAGTTAGCCCATGATGATTTTGTAAAGATTATACAAGATAATGTCTGTATAATGCACAGTGCCTGGAACAGGGGTGATAATAAGTATAAAAAATAAAGATTATTATTATGCTTGAAATAGAAAAAGATAATATTTATCACATAAATAAGTCTCCATGACATTTTGAAAATTTTTAATAACATATTTACCAAGAATTTTAACTATATCAGCTATCCAGATAGATTCTTTTTCTGAGATGTTTCATTACAGAGGAAGGTTTATTCTTCTTGTGTACAGAGTATTAGTTAGAAGTGAACAATTTATTTTTGCAAAATCAGGTCATCCTGGGAGCTAAGCAGTTTGCCTTACATGACTAAACTACCATCATGGACCTGTTCTCTTGTCATTTTCTCCACTGCAGCATAAAACACTAGCAACTGCTCAGGTTAGCATGAAATTGTGGCCTTTGTGGAGTCTTTGTGTATCTGATGTTCATATAGAATTTCCCCACAAGTAAGATCTTGAGGACCCACTAAGTGCTAAAGAGATGTAATTGCATCCACAATAAGTTGGGGATTGGGCCAGTCTCAATGTCTTCCAGTCATTGTTTTAATTATTAGACAATTACATTTCCTTGACAGATTTCCTTTATTGGCTTATGAATTGCTACCTTGTTAGAATAATCCCTAGAATTTCTGGGGACAGATAATAGGCAGAAATCATATTCTAATCATGTGAACTTCTTGGAATTGAAGCTCACTATTGATTTTATCTCAAACTGCAAAATTAGCATACCACCAAATACAGTATATAAACCACCACAAAAGCAGACAGACCATCATCTACAGCTTCTCCTTCACTTCCTGTCCTCCACCTTGAAAAACAGGTAAGAATTTCAGATTGAAATTTGATGTATTCTTTCTTCACCTTTAGTTCAAATGAGGCTGAGATATATGAAGAAAATAACCACTTAAAATATAGTCTTTGAAATTATTTAAAGTAGTACTGACACTATTTTCAGCACTTAGATTAAAAAAATAGAAATGTCTATAGAGATTTGGGAAAAGTTATGACTTCGTGAGCTTTATGAGTCTAAAAAAATTTATTAACAATGATTACTATTCTTTTAGTACAAGGCCAGTTAGGCTATATTAAAAAATCTATTTTTTGAATTAATGTCTTCCAATTTTGTTAAATATACAGCAACAATAAAAGAAAATTATCATTTGAGGGTATGAATAATTAATGGAAAGCCTTTATCTCACAGTAGTTTTAGAGGAAGCATATTGAATCAAGAAACTGCAAGACGTGTTGGGGATGTGTATTATTTGAAATGTTCATAAATATTTTTTCAGAAATATGTATTCATCAAACTTATTTATTGTCCCCAACATCCCACTTTATTATTTGGTTTATAATAGTTCAAACTATTAAAATAGACATATGAAATACAGAATTAAGTTAAGAAGAAAATATTTTACTTTGTAAGAAAATTCTAGATGAGACAGAGATGACTTGGAAACAAAAGCAAAGGAAGAAGAATATTTGAAAGAAAAAGTACTTTAGAATCTGTTGGTTAAAAATAAAGTTCTGGCTAAAAGATTGGTATATAAAATGCTAATTATAAGATATAGAAAATGCAATGAGATCCTTCCTACACATAATGGCTTCTAATAAGATACTCCATTCTTTTTTTTTTTTTTTGAGTCCTAACAATAAGAAATGATTTGAAAACTTATGAAGTTCTTAGGCAATGCAAAATTAAGATTTACATAGTACCCATGAAAAAGATCTAGAAAAAAAATATTTTCCTAAAGGAAGAACATAATCTTCAGGCTTCAAATATTGGAAAGGATATTTTGCAGATGTATTAGGGACATTTTTCATAAAACATTTTTAGTTCAGAAATTTAGTATAAGTATCTGAGATTGAAGATTGCATGCCAAGTGATATTAGTGGCACAAACATTATGTTGTATAAGAAATTATAGAAATGCAACAAAATCAAGTATTCAGGACATTTCAGTTTAAAAGGTAATGTGTGTATTATGTTATACTACAAGAAGAGGTGGCCTGGAGTGGGGATTTGTCAAGAGGATCTGATATTTCATAAATCATCAAGAAATCAGAAAAAAATACAGTCTATGATCTCTAAAGTTATGTGGCACAAGAGAGAGGGGGCATAATTAGATGTGCAGGGATGTGGACTGAGTCATGCATACAGATGGAGAGGAGACAAACCAATCAGTGAGCATCTGGATAAGCGGAAGAAATAAAGTAAATGCTCCAGTGAAAATCTCTAATTGGAAATAAGGAGAAATAATTAAAAAAAATATTTATGGAAATCATTTGGTTTAGTAAAAAAAAAAAAAAGATAAAAAGAAAATATGATCTTCTTTGTATACATTTTTCTTTGATCAGTTGCCTCCAGATAGAACTGATGCTCTATCAGGGCTAAAATCTTAATATTTTATTTGCTGCTATCATCTGAGCACCTAGACAATGTCTGGCAATAAAAAGTGTTAAATAAATATTTTTGAGTAAATTAATCAACTAATAAATGTTTCTGTAAATACTTACGACTTTTTCCTGTCTTTCAAAACAAAACAAAACAAACAACCATAGTTCTGTGAATAAGATGAAAAAGAGTGAGGTAGGGTAGAGGTGATGGCTGAAAAAGTCTGAGTGGTTGGCCATGAAGTATGAAAAGGGTATGTAAGAGTACGTAGCCCTAGTAGGCTTTGACCCTGCCTATTTGATAAAGCTTCTATTAGTATTTTTTCTAAAATGCAGTTATTTTTATTAGTATTATCCTTAGTTTCTTTACAAGGAAAGTAATCCTAGCTAAATAAGAAAATAGATTGACCAATATATTACCTTTCATTCATTTTCCCATTGACAGGACTTGATAGCCATGAAGGTCTTCATCCTTGCCTGCCTGGTGGCTCTTGCTCTTGCAAGAGAGGTAAGCAAATATCTAAATAATTAAGATATAATGGAATATCTGTCTATGTTAGAGAAGAACACCAACAACATTGTTAAAGTACAAATAAAGCAGAATTTCAACAGATACATTACATTTCTTAAAAAAATCATTTACATTCATCCACTATTTCAACAGTGTACAGTAGGGGCATAAATCTGGGTCAAATGCTTTCTATACTACTGTGCCACCAGCTCCTAAAGGAAAAGCAAATGGACAGACAAGTAAACAGACCAAAAAAAAAAAAAAAAAGAGAGAGAGAGAGAGAGAGAGTGAGAAACAGATATAAAAATGGCAATAATAATATTCCACAGATATGACTGAATGCATGTGTAACCTAAATAAATGTACCTTATTCCAGTGATAAAATACATGTATCTCTTACTTTATGGCACTGGGACCAATTCTACCTGTGTCCACCCAAAGACATCTAGAGGATGGAGTATCAGGCAATAATTATAATCACAAATATATTTGAAATCATAATAAACTGTTTAAAACAAAGTAAAATAACCTTGTTACCCATCAAAAACTGTTTATTCACATAAGATAAAAATATATCAATAAAGTTACTAAATATAAAAGACATAAAAACAACTACCTTTCAAGACTCTCAATAAGAATTTTTTATTTCTCAAACTTGTGAAATTGATAGTTCTGCATAAAGAAGATACAAATTAAATAGGAAAAATGTTTAATAATGAATTATCTGTGGAAACCAAAATGGTGTTGTTTTTTTCTGTTACAGAAGGAAGAACTCACTGTATCCACTGAGGTAAGATGTTTTTATTCACAAAAAATTTTCCAATCATAAAATATTAACCTTCTGTAATGATCTAGGAAAAGCCGGTTGTTGATTGTTTTATTTTTTTGTTTTCTCCTTTACAGACTGTGGAAAGCCTTTCCAGCAGTGAGGTAAGACAATGTTTTCAGAGGCAATTTCCCAGTTTTGGAAGAGTAAAATGTTGTGCTATTTTTCTATGATGTTACATTAGGACAGTTAGATCAAAGCAGCTCTGTTCTGACATAAGTTTTTTTTTTTTTTAAGATTTTATTTATTTATTTGACAGAGAGGGAGGGATCACAAGTAGGCAGAGAGGCAGGCAGAGAGAGAGGGAGAAGCAGGCTCTTCACTGAGCAGAGAGCCTGATATAGGGCTCGATCCCAGGACCCTGAGATCATGACCTGAGCCAAAGGCAGAGGTGTTTTTTTTTTTGTTTGTTTTTGTTTTTTTAAGATTTTATTTATTTATTTGATAGAGATCACAAGTAGGCAGAGAGGCAGGCAGAGAGAGAGGGGGAAGCAGGCTCCCCACTGAGCAGAGAGCCTAATGTGGGGCTCGATCCCAGGACCCTGGGATCATGACCCGAGCCAAAGGCAGAGGCTTTAATCCACTGAGCCACCCAGGTGCCCCCAAAGGCAGAGGTTTAACCCACTGAGCCATCCAGGCACCCACTGACATACATTTTGATGTAAACTTCTATTATTTTTTTTCCATTGCATATATGTAAGGACAGAATAAATATCTGGAGAATTCAGTATTCTAGCACTTTCTATGTTGGTGTACTACTTGAAATTACATCATCGTAAACCCACCCCCCCCTTTTAAAGAACTGTACAGTCTTCTTTTCTGTCTTGAGCTCTCTTTACCCTGTCCTCATTCCCTATTCCGATATTTATTGAGTGCTGTGGATCAGACATTTACTAGGAGCTGTGGTACCAAGGAAAAGAGGGATGTCCACAGTGAAGAGCTTGCAAAAGACTATGTGAGCAGACATGCAAATGGACACATTTATAACTTTAGAAAATAAGAGATGGCAAGAGGTAGTGTAGTCCTAAATCTTCTGGGGAGAATCATGTAGGCATTTATCCTGGTACCACTCTTTTTGGATACGTCATTATCCACTGGTTAAATTGTACATCAGTATACTTTGTCTCTCTACAAGGCTATCAGACCATTAAGGGAGGCATTTACTTCTTATAATTAATTTGAAGTATAAATATAATAAGCAACTTATGAATGATCAGAAGAATTAAAAGATAAAATTCATATTCTCAATGAATATTATTCTCCTAGAATCAGATAGAATATTAGCAATCATTTTTTGTCCTAGGAGAGGAGCATGGTGATAGAGAAAAATTAGCATCTATTAAATACCTCTTTTTGTACTATGTTCACTGGTTTTCTTTTCTTATGTAACTGAATTCATTTTTCTTTTATACATCAAGCTTATGCAGAACACTGCAACATCTAAATTTCCACAGTTATCCTGAGTTTTTAATATTATCAAACAAGGTGTCCATTTTAACCTATCATGTGCCTTCATTTTCTGATTTGTATTGACAAATAAAGAACATTCATAGAACTAAAACTAATTTTATTTTATTTTCTGAAGGAATCTACCACGCACATCAACAAGGTAACACCTTCATATTTAAATGTACTTATTTTCACAATTTCCTACATTTAATTTTTATAGGCGGTAACATTTCTTTATATGTGATTTGGTTTTTAGCAGAAACTTGAGAATATTAAGCATGAGGAACAGCAGCAAAGAGAGGTAACTCATTCATGATAAGAATATTTCTAAAATTATTATGAAATATAATATATAAAATATGTACATGTTCATGCTATAAAATTGATAATAAAATAAATGCCAGTGAGGAGATTAAGATTTGACAAAGGCAAAATATTTTTAAGACATAAATGCATCTTTCAAACTGACCATCAATTTGCAGAGTATAGAAAAAAAAAAACCTAAGAATAATTCTTGATTTACTTACATTTCTAGCTGGGGAAATAGGTTCCCTTTAGTCTCAGGATGGATACTCCAATGAAAGAGAATGAGAAGGCAATCTGGCACATTTGTTAGCTGTATAATTTTGGCCCCAAGTTACTCTATACTTAATTTTCTTTTCTATAAACTGAGAATATTCTTAACCCCACAGTTTGATAAGCTGACAGACAGTGACTATTCAATGATTTTATATAACATTTTATAGGTTTTATATTAACATTTATAAGTACATGAAATTCTTAAAAGAATTTCTATTATACCAATGAAAGAAATAAGGTACAGAACAATTGAGTACATAATTGTCTGACAGTATCACACAGTTATTAAGTAGTAGAGCTTGCTTAAAATTAAAGATTTTCTTCGAAAACATAACATTCTTCATTTAATTAAATTACACCTGTGGTAACATGTATCTAATTGTAATATTTCAACTTCCCTCTTTATCAATAAGGTTGTATGGTTTGGGACTTATGCCAATATTTCCTAAATCAAAATGAATTTACAAATTGATAACTCTTGAAAAACTCAAAATAACTACCTTCTCCCAAGGGAAGTAGTGCTAGAAGATGGTTGGTGTTAAGTAACTCCTTGAATGAAGCTGTAAAATAAGATTTAACTTTCATTAAAACAACAGCAGCAACAACAAATAAACCTTGGAATTATCCTTCTCAGCCTCTTGAAATAGATCTTTATTATATGAACACAATTCGCTCTATTATTAAAACATTATGTTGAAAGTCCATGCCTGTGAAGGCCGAAGTGGACAGCTACAGCTATCTGGGCGATTCAGAACAAGGTGAAATAAGTCTTGGAATCTGCAAACACTGATTTCAGCTTGTTCTGTAGGTTCACCTATGAAGGGAATGAGGTAATGGGACATCCCTCAGTGAACATTTTACTCATTAGTCTTCTTCACCTGACTGAAAATAATCTCCTAATCAAATCAGTAAAAGATTTTTCTTCCTTCTTTTCACTCAGTTATGATCGTTCAAAAGGCAGTAGCTTAGACCATCACACATGACTGTGATGACTGAATCATGGACCCCCAAATTCTTTTCTTTCCTTCCAGGATGAACGCCAGAATAAAATCCACCCCCTTGCCCAGCAGCAGCCTCTAGTCTTTCCTAATGCCGATCCCATCCCCTTTGCTATCCTTCCACAGAATGTCCTGCCTCTCGCTCAGCCCGCTGTGGTGCTGCCTCTCCCTCAGCCTGAAATAGTGCAAGTCCCCCAAATTAAGGAGAACATCGTTCCGACACGCAAAATGATGCACTTTCTGAAATCTCCAGTAGCGCCCCTTTTGAACAGCCAAATCCAGAATCTTGCTGATCCTGAAAATCTGCACTTTGCTCAGCTCCAGCCTCAGCCTCTGCCTCTGCCCCTGCCCCTGCCCATGCCTCTGCCTCTGCCTCTGCTCCAGCCCCTGATGCAGCAGATCCCCCAGCCTCTTCCTCAGACTCCCATGCTTGCTCCTCAGCCACTGCTGTCCATCCCACAGTCCAAAGTCCAGGCTCTTCCCCAGCAAGTGCTCCCCGTCCCTCAGAGAAACATGCCCCTACAAGCCTTTCTGCTGTACCAGGAGCCTTCTCATGAAGCCCACCCTGTGACTCAACCACTTGCCCCAGTTTACAACTCTGCTTTTGTAAGTCCAAACTTACTAATTCTGCTTTCTCATTTACGACGTGAAGACGGTGATAGAGGAAAAGTGAGAATGAAAGAATAAATGAATAATGAATGGATCTAAAGGCGCTTTGTTTGGATTGGTGATTCTCAATACTAGCAACATAATAGATAATACATAATACATCATACGTAATAGTAAAACTTTTTCTTTCCAAAATCCCAATGTCTGGGACTACCTGCAGAGATTCTGATATAATTATTCTGATCTTCTATGTAGAAGATACTATTGGGAACAAATTATTTCAGGAGATTCTGATTTAATTGGTCTGTTGAGAATTTGGATAAAGAGGATTAAGGCTTATTAAAGCTGGAATTAAGCTTGATAGTCTGGCCTTGGAATAAGGAAGGCTTATTATTTTCTACATTTTTGAAGTTTTCCTTGTATGTGTCTATTCTGCAAATGCCTTATTTCACATCATGTTTTTGACATATGTACATATGATGGCAAACAATTGAGATGACTATTTCATTCTCTGAGAATTCTTAGGGAATGTGTCTTTGTCAAATGCAAATTGTATATTTATTTATTTTGCTTTTTTAATTTTTTTTTTTTAACTTTTAAGGTTTAAGAGAATTTCAACATTAATGTCCCCTCCTCACTTTTGGTAAGTTTTGGGAATTTGGAGATTAGACTGAACATTTTTATAAATAATATCTTTTTACATTTCATCCTATTGGATAAGTCCAAGACGGTGACAATCTTTATCAATATACCAACTTATTTATTAATGATCCAAGTGTCATGGGTGTCTTTATGGTTGACTAACATCTACTGACCTGAAAGTATGTATCAAATTTTAATTATGTGTTATTGACAGATTTGACTGGCTTGCATTCAAATGCCTATGTTCTGATACTTGATTGTCATCTTTTTTTAGGAAAAACTGAAAATAGTATTTCCTACTTTTATGTGAATGTATTTGAGATTTTTTAAAAGATCACTTTCATTCTCATTCTAACTTAGGCTTCATAACTTCAATTGTTTTTAATCTCATGTAAAATGTACATATTATCCTTTAATTCATTAGCCAAACTAAAATTAATTATTTCAGGTACGAAGTTTAAAAAGAGGAGAGAATATAGCTTTGGGATTTATAAAACACAACTCTGTCTGTGATCATGATAGACTAGACAGTTCACTAAACCAATATCAGGTGAGCTGATTTTAGTCATACAGGAATTTTTATATGCCTCCAAGGTAGGGCTCAACATTTTGCATTTATAACAAAATTTGTCTTGCAAATTAATCACACCAAAATTACAAATGAGAAGGGATAGTTACAGTATATAACATAACCAACTCTATATGTTCTTTATAATTCTACAGAATTGACTGTGACTGGAAATGTGGCATCTTTTCACTCGGCATCCTGAAAGCAAAATTGATCATTTTTGCATGAATCTCCATGGAAAAAAATGAAAAATTTGTCTTTTATTTATTTTATGTACTATATGGCATTCATCTTAATCTGAATTTGACTCATAAACTCTACCTTTTCCAAACTGTAATTCAGTAATACATCAGAATTTAATTTTGAGTTGGAAATAACCTAAACTTGGGAAAAATATGTATAGTTTCTGGAATTGTGTTTGTTATTATTTAAGTATCTATTTCCTAGCCAGTCATTTCAATAAATTAATCCTTTAGGCATATTTAAGTTTCTCTGTCTTTATTATAATTTTTAAACCTGAGTTGGCCTTAAGATTATTGTCAATTTCAGATTATTGGTGTTAAACATAGCCATGGAAGAATTGAAATTGAATAGGTTGTTTTGACTTGAATGGTAAAGAATACCAAAAAGTGGAGGAAAAGAGGGTGGTTACATACCATGTTTGCTCTAGAAAGTCTTGGTTTACACCCATTGCCTAGTTAAACTGTGTAACTTGCGCCTTTCACTCTCAATCATACCCAGTATTGGACGTTAAATTTTATGGTCATTGTGGGGGAAAAAAAAAAAAAGCTTCAAATGTAAAAGCTGATTCACAGCTCAGCCACACGTAGGGAAGTAGAGTTGTGAAACTTACTCAGTCCTTCAGAACTTCAATTTCCACATCTATAAAATAGGCTATTCAAAGGTGTTTTTTTTTTTTTTTAAGATTTTATTTATTTATTTGCCAGAGAGAGAGAGAGAGAGGGAGCACAGGCAGACAGAGTGGCAGCAGAGGCAGAGGGAGAAACAGGCTTCCCACCAAGCAAGGAGCCTGATGTGGGACTCGATCCCAGGACGCTGGGATCATGACCTGAGCCGAAGGCAGCTGCTTAACCAACTGACGCTACCCAGGCGTCCCGATTCAAAGGTTTTTATTGAAGTTTTAATATGATTAGTGTCCTGCACAGATATAAGACAATGGCTCCCAACAGCTCCATATTACTGACTCCACTTACACCAGAGCAGGAAGAGCAGGAAGAGTATCGCAATCAGAATGAATGAGGTTATGTGGTTTTCGCCAATAATGCCCAAGAAATAAGATTTAACATGAGTCTCTAGTATCTATTTTTTTTGATTGCAGAGTAATTGTCTCATTGAAATGAATAATCCCCCTACCAACTACCACACCCATACACTCAATCTCATCCCTTGAATTTACACAGTGACTCGTCCTTACCAATTATTCCATCTTCCCTGCCATCCTCAGTAATCTCCTCACCTAAGGATCAAGTGTGAGACAACTTATGCTATAGCATCTTCCCTTTTTAAAGAAAATTCCATCTCATGACCATACACTGCCAAACTCCTCCCAGTCTTTCAGGCTACTCTATGGCAACTGTTAGAGAAGAACTATCCATACTGAATATATTATGCTTTCATTAATTTGCGTCCATCAAAGTTTTGTCCCTATAGAAATCACTTTTTTCCAAGGTTACCAACAACTTTTATCTTGCTAATCTGTGTTCATTTTACCCAACCTCTCAGAACTATTTGGTAGAGTTGATCATCCCTTTTTTTGAGAAATATCATACTTTTCTTCATTTAAAATTTTAAACCTTGGCTTCTCTCGTAACGTATTAGCCATTTCTTTGCAGTCTCCTTTCTGGCATTTCTTTTCCCAACCTTTAAATGTTGGAGTCCCCTAAGGGTTTAGCCTTACTCTGGATAGTTCCATGGCTTGAAGTCCATTCATGAGTTCAAAGCTTCGAAATGTGTATCTCCGAACTCATTCTTTCCTGAACTCCAAACTCACACACTCAACTTGCCTTCTTGACCTCCACACGCAGGTATCTAATTAACATCCTAAATCTGGCATGGCCAAGCATAACTCTTCCTCTGGATCCAGGCTCTGAATTGCTCAAATTTAATTGGGTCTTCCAGAAAGAGAAAAAAGTGATATACTAATATAGAGACAATAGACTTACTTGAATAAGAACTTCACCCAAAGAGTTTCTTAATGGCCAATAAACATATGAAAAGTTTCTCAACATCACTAGTCCTCAGGAAAATGCTACTTAAAGCTCCCACAGGATATTACGACACAATCATCAGAGTGATCAGAATGAAAATAAAAATGTCCTTACTGATTGCTAGCAAAGACAAACAATAAAAATGCTAAGCAATGATGATATAAATGTAAATAAGCAGAAGCCCCTTGGAAACCTGTGTCAGTCTTTGTCAAAGATCAACATCTGCATATCTTGTGACTAGAGGTTTTACTCTTAAGAATATAACCAACAGGTGTACTTGGGTGCCTCAGTTGGTTAAGTGTCTGCCTTCAGCTCAGGTCATGAACTGGAATCAAGCTCTGGGCTGGGCTCCCTACTCAGCGGAAGACTGAATGATAGGTGACCGAACACAAAATACACAAGATTTTACAACACCATTAATATTACATATTAGAATCTATGAAAAATTAATTTCTAGTGCACTAAGTTAGACAGTGGTTATCTGAGGGGAGGTAGCACTTGAGAGTGAACATGAAGTGTTGCTTTCAGAGGCTGGTGATAGTCATTCCCTTAAACTAGAGGATGTGTACTTTGTGATAGTCTTTTGGTGTGTGCGCTTTTCTATTTGCCTGTTTGTTGCTTTAAAAACATAAATGTAGGGGCACCTGGGTGGCTCAGTGGGTTAAGCCTCTGCCTTCAGCTCAGGTCATGGTCTCAGGGTCCTGGGATCAAGTCCCACATCAGGCTCTCTGCTCAGCAGGGACCCTGCTCCCCACCCCTCTCTGCCTGCCTCTGGGCCTACCTGTGATCTCTGTCTGTCAAATAAATAAATAAAATCTTTAAAAAAAAAGTATAGTACATGTAAAATCATGTATTTCTTCATTAGTGTCTTGCTTACCTTCTTTTTCTCTAAAGGGGGGGCTTCCCCAGTGTGCAGTCAGCTCTCTGACTCTAGACTTAAATATAATTCCACACTAGGCCAATGAATCCAGTTTCCTCAGAAACTACGGAATGGTTGCACCAATCTACTGAAAAGTGCATGGTTTTAACCCCTGTTGGGGTGATATTTGAAAAAAATGGGACACAAGAGATAGGAGAGAACTTGCAGGTTAATTGCTGCTTCATTTTTTTCTCTGTCACTATTCAGAGGTGCAGTTCTATGCAACCTGTGTTCATTACATAATAATCAACTTCAGTTTTTTTTTTTTTTTATTGCCGAAAAGATTGAGAGGACTCAAGCAGCTTATACTGTAATAAAGACAGCTTTATTACAGGCAAAAAACGGAAGACAGCAACAGCAAGAGAAGGATACACAGCAAGAGAAGTGCTAAGATCTCAGGAGCAACTTATTTGTCCTCCCATTGCTTCATAGCCCAGAAGATGCTTCATCTCCTGGTCTCAAACCAGCCACAGAGGCTGCACGTCCTTCCTAGGCTTCTGTCCTAGGAAGCTCAAAACTACGGGATGAAACCAGGGAGCGAGACAAACCATAAGAGACTCTTAATCTCAGGAGACAAGCTGAAGGTTGCTGGAGGGGAGGGGATTGGGAGGGATGGAGTAACTGGGGGATGGACATCGGGGAGGGAATGTGTTGTGGTGAGCACTGTGAAGTGTGTAAGACTGACCATTCACAGACCTGTACCCTGGAAACAAATATTTCATTATAGGTTAATAAAAAAACAAAACAAAACAAAACCCCTACTTATTGAAAGGGTCTCTTAAAAACCTTGTCATGCAGGGATATTTTAGCTACATGACCAGTCTTAACTGTTGAAAACCATCTCTGCTTCACTCTCCCATGCCTAGATCCCACTGAAGCCTGGTACAGACCATACGCAATTATTACTAAGTAATCCTGACAAGCTGATCTATCCTTCCCAAAGCAAAGCACAGGCGTATAGTTATAATATCGTTTGCCTTTAGCTATTAAATACCATAGTGTTGGCCAAGAGTCAGTGACTCTAGAGATAAGCATGCAGTCATCCAGACCGACTGAGATTGATGCTATGTTACACATAGCCTTTCTGGAGAAAACTTGTGTGTTGAGAAAGCGTACCTGCTGATACCCTTCGACTGTAGTGAAGTGGTTCTCGCCTTGCTTTGCATCTTTCCTTATCTCCAGTTTCTTAGGGTGCAACCATTTTCATTAATTCATAAGTACTTCCAAGTGAACTTCAATAAATAGAAGCTGAAGTTATAGAAAATTACAAATGTTTGCATATATACAAAGTCGATGAGCTATAAAATATTGCAACAAAGTTGATATTGACTTTAATGAAATATGTCAATAGAACAGAATGTATTTCTCTCTTTCACAATTATCAATTGGACTTAAGAAATGTAAGAGAGAACCAATCTGAAACCCAATCTAAGTATGCTCCAAAAATATTAAATTTTCTAGATAAGTGAGCACAAGTGGGTACAATTTTGTCCCCTCAAAAGTTATATTTAAGTCCTAACCCAGGTACCTATGAATAAAACCTTACTTGAATATAGGGAGTTTATAGATGTAGTTAAGATAAGGTAATCTAGGTTAGATGGGTTCTTAATCCAACGATTATTGTCCTTATAAGAAAGGAAAATTTGGTCATGGACATACACAGAGAAAAGATAGCCATGTGAATATGGAAGCAGAAATTGGAGTTTTATAGTTATACGATGCAGCCACAAATTAAGAGCTGCTAAGGATTGCTAACAACCACCAGAAGCTAGGAAGAGCTGAGGAGGGATCTCTAGATCTTTCAGAGTACACATAGCCCTACCAACACATTGATTTCAGATCTCTAACCTCCAGACTATGAGAGAATAAGTTTCTGTTATTTTAAGCCACCCAGTTTTGGTACTTGGTTATAGAAGCCCTAGGAAACTAGTAAAACGAAGCATACAGATTTGGGTTACATTTTGTTCACAAATCATTTGAAAACCTTTGACAAAATTATTTTAAAAATGGAGAACCAAAAAATTTCTGCCTTACTGAAATAATTGAAAAAATTAAAAAGCTGATAAATGGAAAGATGTTGAAATTTAGTCCCCAAAGGGAGAAAAAAAAAATTAATGGTGAGAGCTTGAATATTGTAGGACTTAATTCTGAACTACAATTCCAATTTGGTATAACTTAGCATGTAATCTTAGAAGATTTTAATGACTCTCAGATAAAAAAGTGAGCATATATTCCAAGCCAGGAGTGTCATAATACCCAAAGGGAGAGGTCCTTGCTCCAGGCAGAATCAATTAACTTTCTTCTATTGATCCGTGAATACTCACAGAAACTGTG